GTTTGGTTAGCGAGTTCTAATTTGTCTGTGATCAATATATTGTCAGACTGTCGATTTAAGAGATCGAGGTGCGAATGACAATTTGAATATTTGTACTTGCTTGGAAGTACTAGCTCCCTCAAGTGTTTTTGATCGAAGCAAGACAGTGATTTTGCTGTTTTCTGAAGTTTCTGAAGCTTTGTCTCGCGTTGGCAGTGTGCGCTTTAACTTTATTTAAACCATTCATTCCACCGACATCGAGTGCTAGTTTTTGCATCTCTGGGCAAAGTTTGAGCGACGACCATTTGTCAACTACTATGTACAACTTTGTCTGGTACCAAAGATTGACCACAGACCGACAAAGAGTTGTCATGCGAACTCGCCTATAGAAGCGAAAAACTAGCTTTTAATGTAGGTGGAATGAATTGATTAAATAAAGTTAAACTGCATCGGCCAATGAGAGACAGAGTGTGCGTTTTAACTTTATTTAGGTATTCATTCCACCTACACTGAGAACTAGTTTTTCGCACGGGCGATACGAGCGACAACCATTTGTCAACTATTTTGTACAACTGTGTCTGGTACCAAGGATCGACCACTGACCGACAAACCGTCGTAACGCGAACGTGCCCTCTGCATGTATCTTCAGAATGGTTCCCTGACCTGGTGATTTTGATCAGTTCGCAGGTTAAGCAGCCACCAATATCACACGACTAAGTGAATACGTCAATGGAGGTAGTCGACAAAATGGCCTTGCCTTGATCTGGCACTGTTTTAGCAAATAGAAAGCGTCCTCAAGCGTCCAACAGAGGGCGTCATTAACTAATTCCGTTTTCTCTCTCTTCCTCTGAAATCATCTCTTGTTTTTTTAGTCCGGTGTGGTGGCTAAAGTCATGCCTTCCATGGAAGATGTAGTGGCTCAAGAGGCCGTCATTCTATGCAATGAGTTTATTCACTACAAACTCCAACAACTGGGTCTCGTCAGGAAGGGGCGAACGGGTATGACCTTTGCTTTGACCTTTCCCATGATTCCAAGAGGCTGTAAAATAAGAGCAACTGGGTTGGGAAGTTGAATGCAATGGATTCACAAATGCGCGGAAAAGCATGTTCATAATTTAGCCCCTTTGGGAAACCCTTTCGTTTCCAATAATATAGGTTTCTTAAATTAAGCCTTTGAAATTTCTCAGGGGCGCAAATATGAGCCGTTACTAGAATTTGGTTTCGTTTTCCCTCTCTTTCCAAATAACTCTTCTCCTTCCACATCTGTGACCAGAAACATAGGAGTAACGGTGGCATCTTCTTTTAGATTTGCAATGCTGTCCTTCATAGACGATATTAGCACAACGCAGCAAACGTTTGATTATTCGTGGACCTTTAGTCAATCAGTGCAGATTATACTTATAGGCCTACAGGCGCTGACGTAGGCTACTCGTAACGTTATGAAACGGTCTTTCTAGTCCAACGAAGGATAATTGTCACGTACTGGTGAAAGACGGTCGAGCGTCATCACATAATTGTTGATAACTCATAGTTCAACACAGAATACCCCTATCATCATCTACTTTTAACTTTGTCATAGTGGCCATGATGGCTTGAGATCAAATTTAGTCTACGGTCAGACCTATCTTCTGCTTATTTGCACCTAAATCATCAGCTCGTAGAAAAACTTGGCGACTGTTGCATGTTGTAATGAATCTTTTCACCTATGTAGTTTTGCCTGGTGCCACAGCTCCCAACACTAAAACGTACGATTCCACCGCCGCCACAAACACCACGAAATCGCAGTCGGGGCCCACGCTCCACGAGACCATGCTCGAACTACAGCTGGTCAGCGCCGAGCTGGAGCAGCTGTACCCGACCCTGTTCCACGGTGTGTTCGGCCAGCTGAACATCACCCGGGTCAGCTCGGAGGAGGTGGCCGAGGAGGCCTTCCATTCCGTGGCCGACGAGCTGTTCCGGGCCGGTATCACCTGGGCCCGGGTGGTGGCCATGTTCGCCGTGGCCGGGGCGCTGGCCGTGGAGTGCGTGCAGCAACGGAGCTACGACTACACGGCCTTCGTGGACCGGCTGGTGGCAAGCCTAACCAGGTTCGTGCGGGAGAGGTTGGTGAGCTGGATTGCTCGACAAGGAGGATGGGTTAGTATAGCACTCCCACCTGAAGCCCCGCCCTTTTTTCCCTCTCTTTAAACGCGTTAGCCACTGTAAGCTTACCTTTTACTTTCTTTACTGCTCTTCAACTTCGATTGAAAATAAATTCGTCATCACGCTTGTGGACAAGGAATAATGTAGTGTGTCTTTGTCCCGCATACCACTCGGCCGACCGTCCGTGTGATAACTATCGGTAATAAAGTGGTAAGCAGTGAGGGAACACTTTCTTTTTCCACATCACGAACTATAATTAAGTTTACCAAGCTTCAAACAAACTGCGCAACCATTCAGTGCGTCCAAAAAATTTACGGAGGACATTTCTAACGCAAAGGTTTTATTCACCATGGTGGAAGTGAGGAATTGACCAGTATTTGTAAACTAATCGCTATTATGCTAAACAAATACATTACACTTCAAGAAACTAGCATGCTTTTTTATCCTGCAGAGCGATATGGCCAAAACCTTTCATGGGACAAAAGAGGATGACTCGTACGTTTTGATGACTATCGGTGTCCTAGGAGCACTGTGCGGACTCGCGGGGACCATAGTAGCAACCAGTAAGCTCCAGGTGTCCTTATAACCAATGAGATCACGTCCCTGTGACGTCAACGACGGAGCAAACAATCAGGAACGACTTGGGGGATGGGTGCACCTGCGTCAAGTAGTCAATCACGCCCGCACTGAAAACGAGACCTACGCAGAGCACACGGATATCGGCACACACTGACCAGTGGTTTGGCCGTGTTGAAGTGACACGAGCACGAACGCATAGCCAATGAAAGCTAATACTACCAGATGGTGATATCAAACAACACAGAGGGCGCACTGAATGAGCAGCCTGGATGCCTTCGATTGGTAAAGCCTCGGCATCTCCATAACATCTTATCAGAGCACTTTCCCTGAGCACCTATGGCACTGCATTTGGCATTGCCACGCGCACCCACACTTCGTAATTTTACTTGTCGAAAGAACCAATAACCGGAACTCTAGTGTGTGAAGATGGCAAGACAAAAACTTTCCAAGAGGAATTGCAAAACACCAGCGCTATGTTTCAAGACACACTAACTTCCTTATTTTTTTTTTAAATCTACGTACATTTATGTGAATCAGTGTATTATTAGGAAGTGATTTTTATCAACTGAACTTCACAAAAGGTTAGGCTTCTTGCAAGGATATTGCTATTACCAGGGTAATGTATTATTCTGACTAGTATTGCCGTAAATTCACTTTCTTGGCTTTGTAATCTGAGTTTTTAAAATGAAAATCTCAAAGCTCGATTATAGAAGGCCCGATACACGAAGTTTTTTTGAAATGTAGGTACTTTTAAAAGAGTGTTACATTAACTGTTTGGTTTTGTACTCTGAAGATTTTGGAAATTAATTTTTCTTTACCGCTTGTTATGTCCTAGACAAGGGAGGAGTATTCGTTGGGCCCTGTTTACAGGTCTAGTTATGTCCGTCCCACCTTCCAGCGTGGAGAAAAGTCTATCCTTCGATCATTGTCTTCTCGTGTTTGGTGTGTGCATTGTTCATGTATTCAACGGTCTGTGAGAACCAGCGTTTTTACACCAATGGTTCTGGGTACCGCAGCCTGAGAGCAACATACCAGCGTATTTGCCTTGAGCAGAAGCACCCCTCATTGGTTGAAAAGGGCCACATTAGTGGGGATTGTTCATTTTGTTGGTAGCGACGCGACCGTAACGCGTGCATTTCCTAGCCGTTCGTGAACCAGCGAAGTGCAGTTCCTATCAAAGGAGTTTCCTTTGCCCGGAAATTCGCGCCGTCTCTGTCTAGCTTGGGGCTCATATTATGGCACAGAATGGCCTCAAGTTACAAACCGCCCGTGCACACAAAATGAGAAGCCAAGAGCTGCACCGATATCGTTACGCTTACCGTCCATATTGTGCCCAGCTGCGTTTGGGGCAGTGTTATTCACGTGACTCTGCAAGGCTCTGGCGAGACTCGTCACGTCACACAGCGTTCCCTACCTCCTGCATTGATCGAATAAAGATGCAGGGTTTTTTTCCGGGAGCATGAAAACTTCCTACGGACAAAATCAATGGATTCACTTCATACCGTCGTCTTTCCAAAGCAGCAAATTCATCAAGACATAGATTGACTGAAACAATTCACTGGAAACATTTCTCTTGAAAAAAATCATTCCGACACACCCGCAAAAAAATGACTGAAAAGACTGTAATTTGTGTGAACGACTTTATTACAAGGCAAACAACGGAATACCAATATCACTCTTGCCCATGTGCGTACATTTCAACTGTAGATTAATTGGACTTCAGTCTTCCGTTTTCCAAATAAGCTTCTTCGTTGCCGCGACACGAACCCTCACTCACGTTGGTAATTTCTTTGCTCACGACTGTTCCGACACAAGAAATCACCAACACGCAATTGCGACGAGGTAGAATGACGCCGGGATAGCGGCACACATCTAATTTCACAACACGACAATAAGGCCTCGTGCAATATGTCCCGACTGACCATCAAATCAATTTTGAATCATGGGCTGCATCAAGAAAAATTTCTATAAACATGTACATGTACTACCGGAATACTTGCTGTGTTTCCAGGAAAAAGCCCGATTCTGCTCAAAATTTTGAGCTGTCTTCGGAATTATGGAAGCCATTTCTTCAATCAGAAATTTCCACACAGATCAGTACAGTGACAACGCCGGCGATTTGTAATAGTGCCCTCCGAGAGTTTGCAATGCGTTGGCCAATCACGACGCCTGAAATCTGTCGACCCATTCCAAACACACATTGAATGGACAGATTTCACGCGTCGTGATTGGCCAACGCGCCGTTGCAAACTCTTGGAGGCGCACTATTAAAAATCGCCTGTATTCCAATGTCCAGAATGTCTTCATTGCTGTTTTGCCTTCAGGCAGTTAAGGTTTCAAAAATTATAATGTTGGATATTCTTCCTTGATTCAGTGAGGCACACATTCACCCATGCATTCTAAAAATACACAAAAAACAGGAAAGGAATATTTACAGAAGCCTCGAAAGGCCACGTCGACTTAAATTATGTAACTAGTCATCTTTTGAAACGAAATCGCAAGCTGTTTCCAATTCAATTATGACGTGTCTTTGTTATTTTTGGTCCTTCAGTAATTCGTTGATTTATGGCCTCACTCAGAAGTGGCCAAATTCAGCCGTGATTCGTAGCTCGCTCCTAATTTTTTAAAATGTTTGTTATTATCCCTGATAATTGGCTTTAAAATCTTTTGAAGACATAGTCACACTTTGGGAGCGAAATGTAGGAGAGCATGCTGATTCATTTCAAATAAAAGTCATGACTTGTGTTGTTGGACCTTTATTCTGAGCCCCTGCAGTATCTGAAAACTTGCATCAATGGGGAAAATATAAAAAAGGAAGTAAACGCAAAGTTCTCGACAATGCACATTTACACCGCATTTTAACCGTAAATTTCCCATGTCTCGAACAAGTACCATTGCAGCACATCTTGACGGGAATTCGTGAGTCAACAAAGCAGTAATTGGGCATCTGCGACAAGTATGGAGTCTGTAGTCGACAGACTGCTTGGCGGGAATTCCACCGCGAATTATGTTACCTCAGCAGCAGATTAAGTTAAGTTCCAGCTCTTCGCAGTACAGCCATGGGGGATTGAAAATGAAATTATGAAATTCACAATGTAAAGGAGACGTCTCCCATAAACACTTGACGTGACAATTTCGAGGCCACGTTTTAAAGAAAGATGTGTTGACTCATACATGTACATGTAATGAAAATTTGATTTCTGTTCCATTTTTAAACTTCCATGTTTTCTTTCTTGCTTTGATGTTTTTATTCTAACTTCAGATCCCTCAAAACTGTTTAAATGTCTGACCACTGATTACTTGAAAAGCGTTTGCTCGGGGGAATGTCCCTGTGAAATTAATGAAGCTGTGCTCGGCGTGTTAGCAAATGTGAAAGTCGATTCTTTTGATGTCAGAATGTCTTTTCAGAAAATAGCATCCTCGTAAGAGAAATCGAAATGACACTGCAGCGGAGAAAAAGCTTGTCGCGTGGCTCGTGCTTCTACTTGAATGGATGACAGAACATGCACTGAACACCACAATAAAAAAATGTGGCTCTGCCGACCGCTAAAAACGCCAAGCTGCAGTAGACTTGTCTCAGTCGTTTTACTAGTGCATGTACTTGCAAGTTACTAATTAATTACAGACTGCGCACAGATTGACGCCATTTGTAGAACACTTGCAAGATGCAAGGATAGGGATGGTAAGGGGGGGGGGCGGTCGACTAAACGTGTTTTGACACCCATTACACTCGGTACATGTATCAATTATTGTTCATTACACCCGTGTGTATCCTCATTTAGGCCTCGTTTTCTTGACCATCCTCGGAATTTTATGGGAAATGAACATTTCTGTTCTTGACTCCAGGCGTCTCCTCTCATTTCTACCGACTTATACATATTTTGATTCAATGTTGACACAAATCTGGCGGCCCATTCCCCCCGTCACAAAGGTTGGTGACACAGATTTATCCCCGACCTCCACAGAGATCCTCGCTCGTCGTGAATTTGGGGGAAAATTACTCCAGTGTTCTATCCAGTGTTATTTAAAACTTCCAAGCGCATTACAAGTACGAAAGAGTGATACTACAATAAAAACGTAGCAACCATTAAACCATTTCGACTCTCGGTTGATTTACATGTACTATATTTTCTTCGTCGTAACAATGTGATCCATCACTTTGCCACAAAAGGATCCGCCCATTTCGTGATTTTGTAAAGTCAACTTAGCCCAGTTAATGTAGTATTTTTTCATTTCCGTCCAATGTGACATTTTAAACATTCACTAAAATGTACTCGTAAAATTACAATTAAAATCTATATCAAGGATATCGCTGTATAAATTAGTTAATTGATAATTATTTGTGGAAAGTGTATAAAAAAGCATTTATTTTTGTGAGTTTTTATGGAGGTGATTTCTTAAAATCTATTTTCATGGAGGTGAAACAAAATGGTGACTTTCAGAGCATGTATAATACTTTACATCATCGGGATTCATGGCCTTGCTTCAACTCTCTTGCATTCGATAGATGGGTTTTAAAATGTGCTGTGGGTCACTGCTTGCGCTGCATTAAAATGCTCTCTTTCTTAGACACAACGGGTGTCTTTAAGTAAACACTCATCCGATGTGTATTGGCGAAGGTGTTGATTTATCCAGGAGAATTCAGCAAGAGGACTTACGTGAAAATTCAGGCAGAGAACGGCTTCCCGACTCACCCAGGTTGCGTCTTCAGCTCTGACTGGCAATCACTGCAGTGCACTGTTGTTTGATGGAGAGTCCGTGTATCATGACATGGACATCTGGCTACTCCATCCTGACTTCATTTGCTTTCGAGTAAAAGCCATTCATTGTATAATCGACTCAGGAGGGAGTGAGTACAATATATTTGCGCAAAAGTCTAGATTGCGCTGAACGTAATACACCCAACGGTCCACCACTTGGAGGATACGCACGTCTCTGTCCTAGACAGGGAGACTAGACGGTTTGAGATTGTGCGCGAAGCTGCATGCCGAAAACCCTTCTCCAAACAGGGGAAGAGGACTGAGGCGCAGCCTTTCACCAGCTTATAAACCAGTCATCTGGAAAATTCCTCAGCGCCTTGACAACAATAGAGGCATTGACAGTTGGCAGTGTTGCTTCTGCACCCAACAACAATGACCGTGACGGACGGCCACTCAGAGCCGAGACTTGGGTGAGTCGTGAAACTGTTCTTTCCTTGCATTGTCCCGTCAATCCAGTTGGACCAGAGATGGATGCTTAGCGGTGTTGCTGTGTTAAAGGTTAACAGAAGCTGAAAACATTTAGTTCATGTGAAGTACTTCAAAATAAGGGGCCATCTCAAAACTCTTCCGGGACAAGTTGCGGACAAGTTGTGGGTGGCAACAAGGACTTCACCCACAAGAAGCCCAGCATTTGCCCCGGACGAACGGACAGACGAGTGAATGGCTGTTTATATTTGACCGGAGTGCACACAACAGGGGGCCCTATAAAAGTTGTGCTGTTACAATGTTTACTACCAGTACAGTAGACCCACAGTGTGTCCTTGAGTGCCCAGCCTTGCTCAAAACCCCAGAAGGGGGACACAATGTCAACAACCTAAATGTAATTGTTTCATTGCGGGGAGATTGTGGACAAGATGGTTAAGAATCCCGCAACTTAACCCTGAACAATGTCTGCAACTTGTCCGCAATTCGTCCTGGACGAATTTTGAGATGACTCCTAACAATAAGTACGTAACCATTTTAAAACATCATAAATTCAATGTTTACCCATTAATCGTGACCCCAAATGAATAAAAAGACCCTGCGTTTCCTCACCCACAGAAATCCCCTTTTGGCCGTTCGCGCTCCAGGCTGATTTGATGACGTCATCGGCGAACGCCTACACGTACAGTGTACGTGTACATTGCATGATTGCACACAGTAGAATGCAGTATCGCTCACTTCCAACATACCACGTTGTGTTCGATGTAGCTTGGCCCACTGAACGCGGTCGCATTTCAAGAATACACTGAAAGACTCTGTCTTTTAATTTATACTTTGAACAATAGACCACGTTGTGTTCGATGTAGCTTGGACCACAGGCAAACACTGTCTCAGTTCAAGAAATGTACGATAGGACTGTGTCTTTTAAC